CCCCAAAACCCCAAAACCCCAAAACCCCTAGATTCAATTATTTTAATTTTAGAAGAATAAGCTAAATTAGTATTTAAATTAGAGAAGTTAAGTAATGAGATTCAACTGGAAGAGAGTTCACTTATTTTGCCAAAAACATAAGATGCATAAATCTGATTAATTGATGAACTCCCTATTCAATCAACTCATAAACTTTAGAATTATTTTATTCTGAATTCGTCGATTGGGAACGCATAGCCCTCAGTTAATTTTTAGTAAGTTTTATGATTCTCTTGAGTTCTATGCATCGCTTGTTCTTTTATTACTCTTTCAAGAGATACTTCCAAGAACTTTCTCTTTTAAGCGTACTTCTTCTCGACATCAGCTCTAATTTGAGCGTTAAAGCTCTCCATCTCAGATTAATTGTTACCTGCAGAAGTTTAGAGCACGCTCTCTACTTCCAAATCAATCTTTTGCTTCAATTAAGTGATTTGCTACTTGAAATACCCCTTTTCTTGCTTGAGGATCTTCTTTTCCCAAGCCCAGAATGATTGAATGCCATTCTTCTCGATTTCTTGCTTAATTTCATTTTTCTCGTATTGCTCAATAGGATTCTTTATAAATTCAATATAGCCAAATTTGGCTTTGTCATTAGTTCTTCTTCCTAGGTACTTAACTCTAGTGAAACCTGCTGCCAAGTCTCTAAAATATAATAAGGTTAAATATATATGAGCAATAATTGTTTATGTATTTACTAGAATCTGGGGGCTAGTTCAGTCTTTGCTCTTTCAATTGATTTTTTAGTGAACAGGGTTTGCTTCAAAAATACATTGCCTTGATAACCTTATTCCTTGGCCTTTCTAATTATTTTCTCTGCTAAAGGTCTTAATTCCTTAGCCTTTGCCAAAGTTGTAGTGATTCTATCATGAGTCACCAAGCTAGTAATGAGATTTCTAAAGCAAATATTAAAATCGAATGAGATCAAACCTCATCATAGCTTTTCTGTGCTTGTGATCTCTACCAAACTTCCTTGTATGATTCTTATGTCTCATCTTAAAAGTATTATTATAATTATAATTAAGTCTTAAGCAATTAATATTAACGTAAGGCTATTTAATTATTATATATAAAATGATTGCAAGTGGTTTTCTCAGCAAAAAAGCATAGTACTTCTTCACCCCATTGTTTTAAACTATGAACTAATCATCAATGAGACAGTTGATAAGGCACTCTCAAAGATCCATAATGATGAACAATAGCAAATATCAGCATTAAAACTCTAGATTCAACACCTAAAAGAAATAATTAGTAGATTTTGAGTAGAAAATGTTTAGGTCATCAAATGTATTAAATAAAAAGGACTTCTACTAAACCTTGAATGTTCCCAAAGGGGCTAGTCAAGATGAGATAAAGAAGGCATATTTTAAGCTAGCTAAGGAATACCATCCTGATGTGAATAAGGCTGCTGAGGCTAAGGAGAAATTTGGTAGTATAAACGAAGCTTACGAGACATTAGGTGACGATTAAAAGAGAAAAATATATGATTAAACAGGCATGAATGCTGATGAGTAGAATCAAGCAGGAGCAGGAGGGCCATTTGAAGGAGGCTTCGGATAAGGATTTAGTGGCTTTGAAGGATTCTATGATTAGTTTAGGCAATAAGGGGGTTAAGGTGGCCAACCATTTGGTGATGTGTTTGAAGAATTTGAAAAGTTTTTCACAGGAGGTTAAGGAAGAGCAGGTAAACGTGGGTAGTAAGCAGCTAAGGGAAAAGATATAGTGGTAAGTTTAATAATACTGAAATTATCTTCATTATTAGATGTCATTGGAGATTGAATTCATGGATGCCATCAATGGATCTACTAAAAGTTTGAACTTTTCCAGGGTTGATGTTTGTGGAACTTGCAAAGGATCTAAAGCCAAGCCAGGAACTACAGCCTCAACCTGTGGGGGATGTGGAGGTACAGGCTTCTAATAAATGAGGCAAGGCCCCTTCATGATTCAACAATAATGCGGAAATTGTGATGGCTAGGGTACAGTTATTAGAAATCCTTGCATGTAAATATTTGATTTGTCAAAATTATTAGGACTTGTCGTGGAAGAGGAACAGTATCAAACACAGTTAAGGAATAAATCAACATTCCAAAGGGAGTAGATACAGGTGTGAATCTGAGGATTTCCAAAAAGGGCAACTTTAGTCCAAATGGCCCTCCAGGCGACCTCATGGTTTCTATTAAGGTCAGGCCTGATGCTCATTTCAAGAGAGATGGTTCTGATATCAATACTGATCTCTATATTTCAGTTGGACAAGCTATTCTTGGAACTGAAGCTAGTATTAAAACTCTCTACGGTAATATAAAAATGAAGGTTGATCCTGGCACATAAAATGAAGAGAAGAAGAAAATTGCTAACTACGGAGTTTAGAAACTCCCACCAAACTAGCATCAGAAAGGAAATCACTTTGTAACTATCAAAATTGTCATTCCAAAGAAGCTTAGTGAAGAGCAAAGAAAGGCAATGGAAGCCTATGCAAAACTAGAAGATTTAATACTGCCAAATTGAATGCTGCATCAAATAAGTTCTTTAAGTCAAGGGCAAATAATGTTTTAATTAGCTCCTATATATACATATTATATAATTTGTTACTTTTCTAATAATGCATATTCTCAATCACGGGGTTTTGGGGTTTTGGGG